GGTCCTGTCGGAACTACGGCGCTTCTCGCTATTGGTTTATCGAGCTTGGTTCCATCACAAGACTCTTCGTTGGGACCACGATGATGTTCCATACTTCAAATCCACCCCGGGCTATTTTCTTGACCCACACCTCTACTCCACCTGGGCCGATCAATATCTTGCGGGGTACCTGGGGCTGGCAGTTGGTCGTGGGAGCAATTCAAAGTCTCCCCATTTGGGAGGCTTGTGAGAATTATGAAAATGCCATACTTGCCGAAGAGCAACGACTTGCTGCAGAGCAACGCCTCGTTGCACAGAGCTCCACTCCCACCGCTCATCCCAGGGGACGAAAATGCCAAGCTGTCGACAACATCGAACACACTCGTGTGGAATGCTGGAAAACCTTCTTCAGGATTTCTCCCAGCTTGACGTTTCTCAATCACCTGGATTGCGGCGTCTCCCCGCTCCTCAACAACAACAACTCATTCAAGGCCTTATGTACACCTTGACCTCCTATCAGGACGAACTCAGTCCAGACCTTCCTACTGAGGCTCCATCCGCCCCCGCCGACCAAGAATTGCCGATCACTCCAGCCGCTACTGGGACAGAAGTCCCCGTTCCGGATTCGGGATCTATGTCACTGAGTTCCTCGTCTACATCACCCCAGAACACGCTTGCACCTCCATTCCCACCAACTGCTGGGACACAAGATTGATTGCCATGAGAGCGCTGCCCCTTTCCTTGGGTTGAGGCCGTACGAGCTTCCCCTGTACTATAGAGTCTACCATTCTCAGCTTGAAAATAATCCTGCTTTGTCCTTTCTCCCTTGTCCTTTTGTCACCTTTTCATTCCGTGCCCTCTTCATTACATTGCGCACACTTTTCTATCCTCATCTCTCCGCAGCCATTGGCTCCTCCCGACAGTGTTTTCATTTATGCCCCGTGTCCACGATGATCTCATCACCCGGACTTCGTGTTCCCGAACCTTTGACCAATTTGATACCACTACATGGAGAGACGTCCGTCAACCTTTCGAGTCCCTGGATCAAGTTCCCCATCTTTCCACCATCCGGTTCGAATTGGACATCAGCCTCCTCGTTTACCAACCGCTCAGTTATATCACCGTGACCCTCGACACCCTCCAACTTGAAACCAAGGAGTACACGGTCGATGATCTCAAAGATGTGATCTACCCCCGTTTGGGACAGCAGCGTACAGCATTCTGGATGGCCCTGCCTTCTACCGGCGACTCTCGTGTATGGGAAGTCCCGCACACCTGCGCACTTAAGGACCTCGTTCTTTACTATGTCAACTCCCGAAGGATTCGTCGCCAATGAGTATCCACGAGCCTTTCCCCTACCGACCTCTACATACTGTTGCCTCTCGCCTACACGATGATGCTATTTGTCAACTTCGACTACCTCTGACGGCTTATCAGACTTATCGTGAACTTCGCCAATTTAGCCAGTCTCACCCAACCTTCCGGCTTGGCGCTTAAAATTTGCCTCCCTTTGGGGAGGCGTGTGTGTGTGCCCCTTGTAGTCACAGCGATTCTTTCGAATTGTTTTCGTTTTGTTTCAAGCAGGGGGCCCATGGACACTTGGATGGCATGGGCCAACGAAGACCCATCCAAGCTGTCGTGAAAAGGTACCTGCTTGGTGCACCTGGGCGCATTGTAAGCCGCAGCAGGTGGCCATTCTTCTTTCTTTTGTAAAGGGCTACTGCATTGGCAGTCACGCATGGAACGACGTCACCCTGTCGGATCGGACCCGTCTTGAGCTTTTGGCCTCGCTTCCTTTTGAAGACCCCCAGGCTCTTTAGGACTTTCCTGGACCTTTCAGGATTTGGGTTTCTTAGGCTGGCGTGTGGCACCGCTGTCAAGTCAGTACGCATATCCATAAGTGTGTGTGTGTGTGTGTGATGCAGAAGCAAATGTTTGAGCGCGGCAATGCACAGGGTGACGGGACAGACCTGGTGCTGCAAGAGCAGCTCATGAGTTGTCAACCTTTCCGAGACACACTGCATCGGCGCGCGACGCGTGTGAAGAGGCATTGAGTGGGCAGCGCGCTTTTCATGCCCGTGTGGCGAGCGTCCAGGGTCGCTTTCGAAGTGTGGCCTTCGCGGAGCTGTCAGCCGAAGTGGAGACCAGGGTGGCGACTCCCTTTCGAGCCGTGGCCTGTACCGAAGCAGCAAGCCATTGTAGAGATGGCCGCAGGCTAGGACATGCATCGGCAACGTGGTGGAGTCCCGTGCTAGCCATGGAGAGCGTCGTCTGGATGCGAATGCGGTGAATTTTTTTTTACCAGCATAGACCCCAAACAGCTTCAAAACGATTCGTTTAGAACAATATTAGTCAAAAAACGATTTCTTGCCTACCTTCACCCTAAGAGCAAACTGCTTCATCAATGAATTCTTGTCGGCATTGACATCGCTGTTTGTTCGGCCACACTCCTCTCCAGTAAACCGGGCCACAGAGACCAGCCACAGAGCTGAGGGGCGCGGGCAAGACAACGACAAGACCCGGACACAGAGCCGGGCCACAGAGTTCAGGGGCGCGGCCAAGACAAGGACAAGAGGAGGACAAGGCCTGGACACAGAGCCCAGCCACAGAATTCAGGGGCCCGGGCACGGCCAGTGAGTGTGGCCAGCTCGTTTTTTCTAAGATAGAACCCCAACAGTAAACTGTTTGGGGAAATAGACCAGTCAGAATTCGAGAGGTTATTTGTAAGAGTACGTTCAATATGGGTCATGAAGTTGGCCATGTTGGGAAGTTTGTTTTTATGAGGCGTAGTAGACATGGTTTTTCGTGATGAAGCTTCAACATCCGGAATGTGTGAAATGGGAGAAGCAAGTGAAGCAGCAGAGTGGGTGTGTAGCAAGCCAGGAAATGACATTTGCGACAGGCACGATGGTTCTTGAGACTGTAGCTGCTACGCATTGTTATAATGCTTTCATTTTAGCGCATGTCTTATGTATAGTAGAAACCGTTTTCGTTTAGATAGGTAACAGAAAGATATTTGTATATACACATGTTTTTTGTTGAATGATTGTGCATAGTATGTCTGATATTTATGGACCGTTCTCGTTTTTCTCGATTCTGTATTTCGACAGTTGCATGGAGACCCTCGAGCCATCCTTGTCAGGATTCGATGTCGAGCTGCGCCCTCGAAAGAGGAGCTTGTGACAGGACTGGTTTGCTTCTCAGGTGGTTGAGCGAGTCTGGTGCTTCGTGTTTTGATTTGGTGTGATGACAGTTTGGAAATGGCAATATGATAGAACATGCCCTCCTCGTTTCCGGAAGGTAACGAAGAACAATCCCAATGTTGTACGTTGCCTGAGGAGTATGCATTGTGGGAGTGATGCACGTCAGCACAAAACCACTCCTGCGGCCCCGAAGGGCGAGAGTGAATGTTGGGTGTAAATGGATGTAGTTTAAAGGGTTTGACAGTATCTCGCGATGGAGTCCCGATACAGCTTTGTGTGTATAGTACTGAGCTTGCAGGGTAGCCAGGAAGCTGTAGCAGTGATAGTGCAAGATAACAGGGTGTGTGAAAATGTTGTTTCATTGGAGTGGGGCGTCTTCGTGCAGCGTAGAGGGCTGTTTTGAGATTGGTTGATATGTATACATTTATATATTGCAAAAGTATATACATGCATTTTTTATCTTTATATCTATACAATGTCTATCTATTCATATATACGCAGGCATTGAAAACAAGATGGAGGCCACGAGCTTTCGAGATTTTGGGACGGATCTGCCGCAACCTTTACGCCATTGCCTGATTTGAATGCAAAGCGTGCTACGGAGCTTGGGAGCTTGGTGGTGGAGCCCCCAGCGCATGATGCCTTGGTGGTGGAGTCCCCAGCGCATGATGCACCTTGTTCGCCTGCTCATGTGACTGACAGGCAGTCTATTGGAATATACCTATGAAGATCTGTCAGCATATGTATATAACTATATATTCGAACGTGTTTGCATTTGGGTTCGTGGGCTCCATCTTGTTTCCTTTAAATGCAAGTGGACACAGCCGTGTTCTTGTCTATAGCCCATGGTTGATCGTGGCTGTATTTAGATTTAGTATCCAGGTGTGGTGAGAACCATTTTAAGCATGATTCTTCACAAAGAAGTTCTTTTGCGGAGTAGACTTCTCAGTTGATGATGAGAGCTTACAATAAGCAAAATTTGGTCAGAGGATGAGGAACTTCACATGGAGGAGACTTTGGCAGTGTATTGCAAAACGCGTCTTTGAATGATGATGGATGCATGAAAAGTGACAAGGGGGGGCTTGTCTAAAGAAGGGTTCTGAAGTTGGTAAGAAACTTACACAAGCTTTTATCAATGATAGATAGCGCATGTCCGTGGACACGAAGACTCTTCAAAGGATGAGGAGGGGAACTTTTGCCCCAAAAACACCAAAGCAAACAAACGAAACAATGTTTCTACACATGCTCTGGACTCTGGACTGGGTCTCAAATCTTTGTTTTTGTATTTTTTAAATCCTGTTTTGGCTCATTGTTCGTTTTGTGGCAAATGGCAGCACAATATGATTGGAAGGCCTGTTGTAGAGTGAATTTCACAGCATCACACAAATAAATTTTGACACTGCTCACACTCCGGGTCCCGCACTCACTTCTGGCACCACTGGGGGTAAAGAAGCTGGCCTGGGAGAATCGGACAACAAAAGGTCAGCAAGACGCAATAAATTGCTATGGGATGCTATGGGTCAAAACCCTGGTGCACTGTTAGTGGACGTTCTATCCAACATATATGATTAAGTATATACATATACAATCATATAGATTATATATCTATATGATCACAACACATCGATGTCGGTGTTGACCCATCCCCTTGATGATCGCCATGATCAGCAAGCATCCTATCTTGCTGAAACACTTGTCTCCGTTGCATCATGCCCCGATTGTTGCCTGGGCTTTGGTTTTCGAGGAGAAGGCTTGGGGCCGTCATAGCCGCGCATCATGGCCTAGTCCGGCAGGGAACTTGGAGTCCAACTTTGATGACTGACTGACTGGCTGACTGACCGACTGAGTGGCTGTGAAGTCTTCGGGTGGCACTATCACTACTGCACTCAGCTCTCAAACACCATCTTGAGGACCCAAGGAGCATCGACAGCGGCGAACAGTTCTTGGCCCTTCGTTTCGGATTTCTTGGACCGCACGGCAAAAGGCCAATCATCGCAGCTGGGCGATTTTTGCGCGGCACCTCCGCTAAGTTGATTATGATGAATCACCATGCTGCTGAGGAACACGGCGTTTGAAAAACACTGAAGAATGGAAACAACATCTAAGCAAACACTCGAATGATTGCACGTTAGCTTCGAAAAGTCCACGTCTTCCGTCATCTTCCTGCCTTGAACAACCCTGGAAAGAGTAGAGGTCGCAGAGCTTGCTTCGCGACCACTCATCCTTTTGACAGGCTTTGTTGTTGACTTGGAACTCTCGCGTGAGCTTTCTGATGCCGTCTCTTGATTTTTCTGTTTTCGTTCACCAACTGGATCTCTTGGTTCATCTTGGAAGCCCCATCGTTGCTCTAAACCTGTCCATGTCTTGGCTCGCGCAGACCGACTTTGCCCAGTTCCGGTGGCTGGCGCAGCTTGAGCAGCTTGCGCATGTGCCCCGTCATGTTCTTGAGCCGCTTGCCCATGTGCGGTTCGTTTTTTTGGAGCAGCTTTCGCCTTCAAACGCGGCCTGGGCCGGCGCGGCGCTCCGGCGGCGCGGCGCTCTTCTTCCAAGAGGTCTTCCGGGAGCTCAGCCACCTGCAAAGTTCGGCGCAGGTATTCATGCGCCACGGCCAGACGGGCCTCAAGTTGCTGAATCAGCTGATCCTTGGGATCCAAATTCACCACCGGTTGATTCCGAATGCATGCAGCCTGTGAAGCATATTGTAAAGTGCTCAGGTTCTCGTCATCTTGCCTTTCAGATGGCGCCACGCAAGCAAACATCACTAAATAGCTGTTGCCCCCAAGACTGTTTTGCAACAAGGAAGTCAGCTTTGATTCTCGGTATGGTACATGCACAATCTCATTCCTTCCGGTGGCCTCACGCTTGCTGAGAGCAGTGATGACTCTGCGCAAAACGAACAAGGACTGGTTCACGTTCACAGCCTCCTGGAACCGCGTGGTGCTCTTCCCAGCGTCCCGCCCTGAAACACCAGCAATGCTCCGTTCAGACCCTGCCAAGTCCACAAGGGACAACTGCGAGATCACTTCCTGACATGGCCTGCCCTGTCCCTGCCTGCCCTGCCGCCGAGGGGTACGGTTGCCCTCCTCATCACCCTCCCGTCGCAAGAGGGTCAAGACCAACAAGGTGTGCGACCTGGAGGATGCGACGTTCATTGTGGTGGATGCCACCTGGCAGATTGGCAAAGAAATCGAAGGGAAACAGAACATCGGAACATTCTGAAACTAAGTTGACGTCTCTTGATTCTCCCAGATCGTCCACACCAAGGCTTTGTTCCACAGATATTTGACACTCAGCTTGGAATTCGCCCTGTGTGCCTGCTTGTTCTGAATGCCCTGCTGATAGTGTTGCAGGGCCTCTTCGGCAGAGGAGCACTCGTATTGGAAGAGATTCTCAACAAAGAAGTGCCTTCTGGCAGCATCCCAGCGCAAACGAAGGCCAGAAAACTCCTCTCCACGGCCTCCAGCCTCTCGCTGTGACACCGTGCTGGACGGGTTCAGCAGATCAAAAATCTTCTCGTTGTAAATCTGCAGAAAGGAAAGGCGCACAACGCATGAAGATGTAGAGGAAAATGAAGAAGCCGATGTAGCGGGCGCAAAGGATTCAGGCGCACTTGTCGCTGGGGCGGCTACGTCTTTTTCCGCCTTTATGGCTTCGACGCGGTCAAACAAGGCCACCACTGCCCTGGGGACAATGCCCAACTGCTCCGCAGGAGTGGCCTTCGCCTGAGGCAGCTCGCTAGGTCTGAAAGAAAACATTTTGGAAGCAAGCTCTTGAGGCCTGATGAAGCGCATCCAGAAAGAATCTTTTGAAGGTCTAGGTCTATGGATGTCACCCAAATCGATGCAAGGGAGATCAAAGGAGCAACACCAGCTTTTGTAACCCTCTCCAACCCACAAATAACATCTAAAACATTCTATAACTACCTCCTACATCCTGCTTTCTCCCTATTTACCTCGCCTTCACACGTGGGCGCGCTGCTGCCATTGTGGGAGCAATGCCGCAGTGATGCTCATAGGTAAACCCTTCCATTGTATGGGTCTTTCCCGTTCCAGTCTGGCCATACGCAAAAACTGTCGCATGAAAACCCAACGCAACTTTCCTGACCACAGCATCAAGCCGAGACATTTCCCAAACTTCCTGCTGCGTGCGGTCGCCACCAATGACGGCATTGAAGCCAAAGTGCCGGTGGCGGCCGTCCTCCTTCAAAGCGACGGTGCCATTGATGCCTTCTTTCAACTCCATGGCACTGGCTTCGTACCCCTCAGCCTTCTCCCACTGAAGCATTGGCCTCACTCTCACACAGATCTGCACCGCTGGGATGGAATCAGAAACCGCACCAACTGCACTGGCAACTGCATCTACCATCTCCTTTTCTTCAGGCCTTTCCTGGCCCGGCTTGTGGTGGACGAGGTCATTGCATCCACCGTTCTCAACGGTGACCGCGTCCGGATCAGGCCCCAAATCTGGACCATCCAACCTTGCATCGAAGGTCATTTACAATCACATACCTTGAAACCATTTACTTGTTGTACATTGTAGATCTGCTACAATTTGCTTGGGTATCTTGATATGGCACCCATGCCGTCTTCTGCACACACACACACATATATATATATATTTAATAGATAGATATATAGACTATAGACTTGTTTATTAACAAAAAGAGCCTACCCCTTAGTGGAAACATCTGGAAACGGACATGTTTGTCATTTGTCCATGGGATTACTTTACATGAACATTCCTTCCGCGCTGAGGTTCCAAAAGGATGGAAGGTCTTAGACTTATTGAAAATTGATGCTGATGCCATTCAATGCTGATAGTATATCAGTATATCCATTGCCGAGACTCGTCTCGGGTGCCGGTTGCGGCGAGTCGGTTCTGCCGTCGCAAGCCGCGGTATTCGCAGCCTTGGGTGAGATACAAACAGTCTCATGAATCTCATGCACGGCAATTTGTCCTTCAATTGAAGGGACAGTATCAGTATTGTTACCCTCAATTTGTTGCACAACGTTTCATGTGTTTCATGTCCCATGTTATCCTAGCACGATGTAACACGTCTCCGTGCGGCACCTCCGGCATGTCGTGGCAAACTCGGCTCGGGCACGAGCCAAAAAGGCAAAATGGGACCACAGATCGCGTGCCGCGTGTTGCGCCGTGGTGGTCTCTTGGTGCGGATCTGCTGAGAGCGATCTTTTCGGGATTTTTGTCGAAGCTTCGCATTGGCTCACTAGGGAGCAATAATGCTCAGTGAATATGAAACTATATGAAATGATTTGACCTGACCTCGCTACAAGCATGTGATGAAAAGAAACATGGATCCAGTATCAACATTTTGATTCATGTGGTGGATTCCTCCCATTGGCGCAAGCCTCCTTCGCCCTGAATCACCAAAACTGTCGTATCTTGGAACGTGTGTAGCTGAGGCAGAAGTGTAAGACGTCGGTGCCCTCACTCAACCTGTGCAGGCTTTGGGTGGCCACAACCACTACCCCTGCGAGTCACTCATTCATTGGTGTTCCCGCGCTTCCTATGGCGATCTCCTTTGGCAAGAATGGTCGAAACAAAATGAAGAAATAGGTGTTCAACATTGTTCAACCCAGCAATACTCAACATATTGTTCCCTGTCTACATGTACACGATTCTGGGGTCTTAAGAACCTCTGGCTTGCCATGTCCAACGAGTGCCCGTGGAACTGTTTGGAGTCTGGCAGGCCAGCAGTTGGAAACGTCGAGTGCCCTGCAAGGAATGCCTTGCACAAACCTGCCCTCTCACATCCTTTTACTCATCATCATCATCATCGTCGTCGTCGTCGTCATCGAAGGTCTGCAAGGCGAGAGGGCATGCGGGATACTCGTATGACAAATGGAAACAACAACGAACGTATGCATCAATCCAAGAGCGGAGAAATGTCAACATTGCCTCCCAACAACGTTGCATGTCAACAGAATGGGCCTTACTTTTGCCTTTGAATTCGTTCTTCGACTTGCCTTTGCCTTAACCAGTGCTTGTCAGGTGATGCCCCCTTACCCCGCCAATGCCCAAAGAAAACAGCATCAGCCTAAGTTTTGATTCATCCATTGTACACTGCCACTGGAGGGCCTTTGCCATCCTTTCCCTTTCCTTTTTTACCTTTACCATCTTTTCCTTTTCCATCTTTTCCTGTGATGGGAAGATGACCGTTTTCAGACCGCGTCCAACCCAAACACATCCACAACAGCTGCTGGCATCATGCTGTTCCAAACGCATGAACACGAGAAGAGGGCAAACAAAAATAATCGACGTAAACACAGCAACACCAAATATCAAACAACATAAAACACCTGCAAATCGCCCGCCTTTTTTGCCTTTTCCCTTTCCTTTGTCATCTTTGCCCTTTCCTTTCTTGCCTCCCGACTTCGCCCCTTTCTACCCAGGGGTGTGCAAGGCCTTTTCCAAAACATGAGATTGGGTCGCCCATTGTCCACCCAATCCAGCCAGTGCAAAGTTCAAAACAGTGGACCCGAAGCGGGAGCAGCCTCCATCTTTTCCTTTGCCTTTGCCCTTGTCGTCACCTTTCGAGTCAAGCTTTACCTGCAAAGCACGAGACATGTGAGTGTTGAGCAAACTGCCAAATTATGCCCCAAAACCCACCACGTCTGACAAACATTCTGGCTGTGTGCATGCTAGGAAAAGGTTTTGCTAAGGTTCCCCGCAGGGATGCACAAAGCAACCCATCTCAAGCACATGCAAAGTCAACAAGGCTTCTTCACATACACAGGTGGCGACAAACAACTCAAATTCAAAAAATTGACCATTTGACACAAAACGGACAGTAGATCGGGGCCTCAAAACGGACAGTCAGCTTTCAGCTTGCAACCAAACTGGAACTTACAACATCACACAAGGCCATCCAACCTGATGATGAATTATGATGAATTGAAGTGCCGCGCCACAAAGCACACCCCTTGCTCGCCTGCAGGGTGCCCTTGCCGTACTGATCTCCATCGTACTCCAGAGCCTTGTCGGCGCCGGCCTTCGTTTTGTAGGTGATGAAAACGGTTTTGTTCGGCATTGCCAAGTCTTCGATCTCACCGCATTCGCCGAAGTCGCCGCGGATCTGCTTCTCTGTGGCGTCCCACGGAATGCCTTCCGAAATGAAACAAATCAACCCGAAACTTGAACGTTACCCAAAAAGACGCTTGGCAAAACAGTGAGCAAGTGCAAAAAAACAGATTGCCAAACAATGACCGGATGTGGCACGCAGCGCCAAGTGAAAAATCTTCTATTAATCGTTATAATCAGTTGTAGCTTGTTGATGGTATTGATGTTCATGGTGATGAGCACTTGTGCGCTGTGGAACGTTTTTTTCCAGAACCAGCTCTTCCCCCGGTCTTGCCAAAATACACCCATTTTATTTGGCGCAGTGGCTCCACCGAAAATCGAACCTTTGCAAGATATATATCAACAAATTGCGGACGAATCGAAACATTTTTCTTGCATTGGTTTGGTGTTGTATTTGTTTGCTGTTGTTGGGTCAGTGTTTAGGGGTGGACTGGCAAGTTGATGGTCTCACACAATTTTGCTGTCAGTCATGTGACGTCGTGACAAGACATCACAACTCAAAAATATGAATCTTCAAGAATAGGCTGTCCAAAATATGGTTAAACCTCTGGTTTGCAGACTTTCGGAGGTTGCTCGAGAATCCTGAAAATGCAGGGATATGCAGGGGATGTGTTCAGAAGGCCTTTCGGTCGAGATTCTTAGTTACTTAGTTGACCTCGGTTTCAAATCGCCAGGCGCAACTTGGGAAAAACATGTCTATAGTTCCCCAAACAGTGCATAGGGGTTTTGACGGTAAGTGTTAAACAGCTGATGCTTAGTTCTCTGAAGTGCGCGGGCGTGTGCGGCTAATTCACTGCTATTTGCAGTGCATTCATGCCTCTCGACATCGTCAATGTGCATTTCAACGCGCAGGCTCGCAAAATCTGCCTGCCGGCGGCGGGTGCTTCTAGCGACTGCACTCTCGTTGTGGTGCCGTGCGCATTTTCGCACATGGTGGTCACTTTTCGTGGCAGGTGCAAGGGAAACCTCGTGTTTTCGTGGCCCAAAGTCGACTTTTCGTGACAGGTGCAAGGGATCGGAGCTGTTAATGCAGTTTTCGTGGCTTTGGACATGGTGGTGATCTTCGACAAGCTCTGAACTCGTGACAGGTGCAGTGAATTGTGATTTTTGGAGATGTGGCTCATTCGCAGATTTCGTGGCAGGTATGGCACTTTGTGAACCTCGACGTGCAGATTTCGTGGCAGGTACAGCACTTTGTGAGCCTCGACGTGTAGATTTCGAGGCAGGTACAGCACAAATTTCGAGGCAGGTACAGCACTTTGTGAACCTCGACGTGCAGATTTCGTGGCAGGCACAGCACTTTGTGAACCTTGACGTGCAGATTTGCTGGCAGGCACAGTGCTTTGTGAACCTCGAAGTGCAGATTTCGTGGCAGGCACAGCACTTTGTGAACCTCGAAGTGCAGATTTCGTGGCAGGCGCAGCACTTTGGGAACCTCGAAGTCGAAGTGCAGACTCCGTGGCAGGCACAGCACTTGGTGATGCAGATTTCGTGGCAAGCGCCGGCGCAGCACTTTGTGCTCTCAGATGCTACACACTCTCATGCTCACTCTCACGCTCACGCTCTCACTCACTCTCACTCTCACTCTCACTCTCACACTGACACTCACACTCACACTCACTCTCACTCACACTCACACTCGCGCTCGCACTCGCACTCGCACACACACTCACACACTCACCCACTCTCACCCACACTCACTCCGCACACTCACTCTCACTCACACTCGCACTCACTCACTCTCCCACTCTCACTCACACTCCCTCATGCTCTCACTCTCACCCACATTCACTCTCACCCACACTCACTCTCACTCCCACTCACACTCCTACTCACACCCGCACTCATCACCACCATCACCTCTCTGGACCCCAATGCGTCTAGATCTCTAGACTTTCTGCTTATCGACCTCACACACACACACTGATTGGGGTCTCTTGCCGGGATAATTTTTTGAGCATTGAGTCACTGAGGGCCTTGATTGACTTTTTCGCCTGAAGATTTAGGTAGGGACTCCTGATTCAACACGAATCAAATGAAACAAGATGCCCACGAACCCGAATGCAAACGCGTTCGAAAAGCTACATATGTCCAAATGACACTCTTGTAGGAAACTCTTGTGGGACACGCATATAGGACACTCTTGTGGGACACTCTTGTGGGTCACTCTTGTAGGAAGCTCTTGTGGGGCACTCTTTTGGAAAACTCTTGTGGGTCACTCGTGTAGGAAACTCTGACTCTTGTGGGACACTCTTACGGGACACTCTTGTGTGCATGCAGTAACTAGTCCATTCCGTGCTGTATAAAAAAGTGGTTTTTGAAGTCCGCCATCGCGACCCATCACAAACCCATTGTTTTCACCAAAAAATGACCCCCCCCCGGGTAAACCTGTACTGCACCTTACAATTGTTTATGCCATCCGGATGATCACGCCCCGAGCACCTTCGGTGTGGGCAGATTTTAATGCTCAGCTGTTTCATCATCATATTATAGCTCAAACTGACGTTACTGTAAATAAACTGGATTCCCGTCTCAAACGCTTGTACCGCAAGTGTCTTTCCAAACCGGCTATATATGTTTACAAGTTTGCAAATCCATCCGCGCCAAAGCCATTTTACTTGAAGACCCATTTTAGATACTCCTTAAACTAAATGAGTCAAACAAAAGCTAGTTTTCCGTGGTCGACCACAAGCCGCTAGCCGGTAGCAACTGGGATCATAACTATCTACTGTATCTATCTATCTATCTATCTCTATCAATCTATTTAGTTTCATCTGCTTCTCTTGGGCACATTGCGATGGGTCACACACTTCAGCGAGGCCTGGGGCCCTACCTTTACCTCCATCGTCCATGAACCTGCTAAGTTTAAGGTTTCAACTGTTGCGGATGGTCGTGGGCATGTGGGTTTCGGTTGGGTCAAGCTATGTCGAGAGTCGAGCCGGTGAGCCGCTGTCCTCGAACCATCACTTTGGTGGCTTGACCTGTCACAACAAGTCTGA